TAATTCATCCCATCGTATTGTGTTTATTTTATGTTTTTTTTATTATATTTGGGGGGGGATTATACTTTGAGAGAATTTGGTTTTAAGATTTTATAGAATTGTAAATTATTCGTAATTATTGTATGAAAATGGAAAATAGATAGTTTTCTCTAATACAAACCAATGAGTAGTTCTAAGGAGTCCCACAATAAGACGAAACAGCCGTCCAGTGCTTCTAGGTTTCCTATGGTGGTCTAGTTTTAACTGACTCGTGATCTCATCTATTAAATCAATGAGTAATTTGTTAATATTATTTGTCTGATTGAAATCATGAGTCAATTGAAACTAGACCACCATGGAAAACCTGGAAGCACTGGATGGCCGTTTCGTCCTAGTACGGGACTCCTCAGCAGTGCGCATCCACGATCCCGCACCCCACGAGATTCAAACCCAGGACGCATTTGTCTCGCGCCGGGTGCTTAACCAACTAGACCACTGAGCTGGCCGGCGTCCAACGGTGTTAATGTTTAACTTCATCCAACCCACGAAGTTGCACCACCGTACACCATTGTCTTCAGTGAGCTGATATCTCATAACAGACCTGGTTGAACTGCACTGGTAACAGCTTCTCACTAGAAGCTGAGGAGTATCTCTTGAAGTCAGTCACTAGTGAGCAGATGATTATTATCAAAAGGGGTTTTGTGGAGATTTTAGAAATTTCACTGATTGAAATCATGAGTCAATTGAAGCTAGACCATCATGGAAAGCCTGAAAGCATTGGACTACCGTTTCATCCTAGTATGGGACACTAACACCGTTGGTGGTCCAGCTTCAATTGACTCATGATTTCAATCAGTGAAAGTTCTAAAATCTCCACAAAACCCCTTCTGATAATATTATTTGTGTTATTTTTTATCAAAAGGGAGTTATTTAGTTACTACTGAATTCTAATGAATAGTATATTGTTCATGAATGAATAATTTAGTAAATATATAGTTTGAAAGTATGGGAAAATAACGTAACTAAATTTTCGATGTTATTAGCCATTTATTTACATTCTTCTTGTCCTGATTAAAATCATTTAATGAAACTATAAAAAATATTATTAAAAACTAGATTCAAGAATATAGAAATAATTACTACATTTACTCTTCATGAAGGTTATTTTCATTGTGAAATGATATTTTAACTTACTTTAGCTTATATGAACGATTTCTTCAATTATTTTTGCGTAGGTAAATCTTTTCTGTATACAAATAATCTTGAATTAGTACGATCACTTTTGCCGCATGAGTCAAACCATACCGAAAACTGTATCTGTATAGAGTTCAATAAGGTTGCCTAGTGGTGTTCAGACTGGAATTTCGAACATAGCACAGTTAAATATGGACGGATTTACTTTCATGATCGCTTTCTCAATTTCGACTTTGCTGTAGCTGTTAAGGTGGTATTTAGGTTTCATACAGTAGTAGACTTGGGACTCGGGTATTCCCACAATTTGTCATTCTCAGAACGGGTTTTAAAACAAATTTCTAGTTACCTCTATTAGAATGACTCAAGTACTTCAATGTCCCATCACCCCAGAATACTTCACTTTTATTCTGATTGATGTTTACACAAATAATAAATTAGGTTGGAATATCTCTAGCAGCAATGGGCACTTCTCAATCTTACCGTAACAACAAATCCAGGTTCATTGAACTTTGACTCGACCGTTTATTGTATCAGGGACCATAACCCAATCTAATAGTTTTCTTCAAAGTACTAAATTGACTATCTTTTACACTCACTAATGCAATCTAATGTACAGAAATACCTAGTTTTATCATTTATAACTCTATTCCATTGGTGAAACAATCTCATTCCAAATCTTCTCTCTGTATGAATTACTTCACCGGTAAATTTTCCAGACCATGGAATGGTTTCCCGCAATTTGTTCGTTAAATGGATGTTTACCCATCATCTGTCTTGAAAGCGCTTAAACACATAGCTATATCCCACTTTACTAGTGAAAATGTAAGAAGAATAAACTTTCCTTCCTACAGATATTTTAAACTAACATTGTCCCTTGTCGATTAAATTAATCTAACAATATCTATCCAAATAAGTAGGACGTTAAACAACTGAGCTCTTAGATAACGGCGAACGTATCATAGTAACTTTTGTTTCATTGAAATCATGAAGCTAGCTTAGTTAGACCGTCACTGAAAACCTGGAAGCACTGTAAGGCCGTCTCATCCTAGTATGGGACTCTTCAATAGCGCACATCCACGTCATCGTAGGCAGGGGGTCACGCGTGAGACCGAAGGTCCTGGTTTAAATTCCCGGCAAACATCAACAAATTTGAATTGGAAAAACTCTAACTATGTGCTTATCATATTTATAATCACAACCTACTGGTTAAAGTATTCATTACCCTAGTTATTGTAGAAACAGAATTCTAGTTCTGTATGAACGTAAATTAAAAAGACCAATTATTTATCAGATAGAATTGACTGGTGTATTTTAAAACATTTAAAAGGTTTAGTAAGCCTAACGAATTATTCAAACTAATTGAATATCGTAATAAATTAAGACGCCTACAGAAACGTTACTTTAATTCAGATGATTTCACTGCATTTACACAAGTAACTAATTTTTAATCAAATTCAAGAAAAGGATAGGTTAAAAGCCATTAATGAAGAGTTGTTAGCGCATAATAATAGCTTGAAAGTGCAAAACTTAATTTTCCTTTTTGACAAATACGTTAGAGCAACTCAAAATGTTGATATACCATGCATCTTACACAGTGGCACATTTATAAACGACTCTGAAATCATTGCAAAACTTTTCAGTGGCAGTTTTGCGAATAATAATATATTTCTAAATGACATTTCAAAAGTCATGTATGTGACTAGTAACTCAATAAAATCTGTTTCTTTCACTTACCTAAAAATTAGTTAAGCTACAAACTCTCTTTAGATTCTAAACAGCTATAGAGTAGGCGACATTTTATCCCTTATCTGCAAATATATTGCATCTGATATTCCACTACCTCTTCTAAAGCTCTTTACTCTCTCTCTCTCTGGAGACAGGCGCATACCCTTACTGTTGGGAAACTCCACATATCATAACACGTTACAAATCTGGAGATGAAACTGACATAAACAATTATTGGCCCATAAATATTACTCCAGTTATCTCTAGGATTAGGAAAATAATTTTTGGCGACAGACGCTACAATTAGTTGCTCACTGAGAAAAGTATCATTGATTCTCACCATGGCTTCCTCAAGAATCAATCTTGTATGACCTGTTATCCAAGTTATACACAGTAGTAGACTTAGGACTCATGTATTCCTACAATTTACCTTTCACAGAACAGGTCTCGAAAAGGAACTCCAAGTCCCAACGTCATATGGGTTGCATAATTCATAACTTCTATGACAACAAGTCACATATTTTCGTTGACAAAGTGTGTTCGACCACTCCTAGAACACTGCACGTTTATACTTAGAGGTGTTTGGATCAAGGATAAATTAAGACTGGTATCCGTTCATAGACGACTTACATTTCACATTCTTGGGATTGATTGTACCTTAAATTATAATTCCAGATATAATGCACTTGGAATCGACCTTTGTGGAAGAGGAAACTCAAACCAGATCTAATCTTTTTCTTCAGAATACTTAATAAACTGTCTTTTACATTCAATGAAGCAATTCATTATGTAGAAACTCTTAGTTGCAACATCCGTAATTTTTATTCACTAGTGAAACAATCTCATTCTAAGTTTTCTCAAACGTGAATTATTTTACCAGCAGCTTTTCCAGATTATGGAATAATTTACAACAATCTGTCCCTAAAACAAAACCAATTCCTTCCTTTATTTGCTGCGTCCATTCTCACCTCTCCTCAGAAAGCGCTTTCAAGGTTCTTCTTAATAAAAGAATTTGTAGTGATTCAGCAATCCTCTATATGTTAATGTTCTGGGCTTTAAATCAACTTTACATTATACAGATAAGTAGTTCAGAATCTGAATTACTTCTACCGAAAAATATATTCCACGAAGTCATAAGTTATTCTCACGAATAATATAAAAATGTAAAAAGAGAGAATAAAAACAAGGTTTACTCGTGCAGAATTCCTTAATAAAAAAGTGCCGATAAATACATAGTAATTGATTACTGATTACTTGCTAAACAACTAATTCATAATGCATTTGAAATATAAAACCAGTTGAACTAGTAAACGCAACTCAGAGCAACCGATATTGATATCTACAAATTCAAACTACGATAATGAGATATTATAAGCAGAGATGTTTTTGACTTAAGGCTATATATATATACCAATAAGAGACTGATCAGTTACAGTCTTTAACCATCAATGGAAGGATACAAACAACCTGTACAAGAATAAATGTACTATTGAAGTAGATTACTAAAATTGATAGAATTATTTTATATAGAATTATATTCAAACATTTAATCAATCAGATAAAAAATTCATTTAGATTAAGTTAAAGGGAGAAGAAAGTAAGGCATTATTTATATTGAGTCTATCCCTATGATTATTTTAAGAAATATTTGTATACATCGGTATGACAACCAATAAGGTAGTTAAAAGAAAGAAAATAAATTTCATCTTCTAGAATATTTTTGATTGGTTTATTTATAATTTCAACCTGTTAAAATTATTTGATTGAAAATAGAAATTAAATCTAACACATTTAATGATTTACATTAAGTGAAAACAATCTATTAATAGTAAACAAATAAGTTGGATGTTAAGGGATGAAGTAGAATGGGAACTTTTGAAGTTAAGGGATTGTGTTAAGATAAATTAGGTTGGTGGGTGGGGTGGGGTGGTTGGTTGGTTGGTTGGTTGGATGAGAACGGATAGATGAATGGATAGTTTGAACGATTAGTGAAATCATCACATTTGGAAAGTTGTTGTAAAATAAAAGGGAAATTTATTGTGTGAATAATTCTTAAATTATTTAAAAAGTAACTTATACATTTCTTAACATTAATTCTAATAATGAATAAGACATTTAATGAAAATAATATACGTAGTTCAGATGCTATGACTATTTGTTTAAATACATATTTAAATAATAATTATAAGAAATTGATTACAACAGAACAATTAAATAAAATGACAACAATATTCAATCATTCACCGTTAGAAAATCATTCTATTAATAAGAGACACATATGTGATAAAGCTTATGAACATAAAACTTATGGTACAATAGATTTGGATAGTGTCATGAAAATATTTCAAGAGCAATACTTTAATCAATTTACAAATGTAAGTTATTCAATTCTTCTTTTGATTATTGATGATAATTTCTTTGTTTATATAAAAATTATTATTAATGTTATCTGATATCTATTTGTAATCAGTTACATATAACCATTATGTTAAGGTGTGTTTTAAACAACATTTTGTCAATGTTTAAACAAAAATGCCATGAAATAATCTTATTTCTTATGAATTTTGAAGATTTGTGGAGATTTGAATTCCCTAGTCAGTCTAAGCTAGATCATCACTGAAAATTTGGAAGCACTGGACAGCCGTTTCATTCTAGTATGAGATCTCGGCTCAGTGGTCTAGAGGTTAGGCATTTATGCGCGAGACCGAAGGTCCTAGGTTCAAGTCCCGCGACTGGGATCGTGAACGCGTACTGCTGAGATGTCTCATGCTAAGGCGAAACGACCGTCTATTACTTCCGTGTTTTTAGTGTTGGTCTACCTTAGATTGACTCGTGAATTCAACCTTATTTCTCTTACTAGAGTGGTTATCTTTGGGTTTATTCTAATAATTAGTAGTAAGTGGTATATCTATAGTTTATTTAATAAACAATACATCAAATGTTTGTGGCCTGACCTTTAATAGTTTAAGTTCATTTATAGTGAAGTGTCAATTGATATATTAATAGAATGATACTAAGACATATTAAACTTTGATAAAAAAATTTAAAAATGAAACATTTATGGGAGATCTTATCTAAATTTGAATGAATAATTTGGTACAAAAATTTGTAACAATAAATGATTAAAGCTTATCAACTATCAGTTTGATCCAAATTGTTTTTTTATTAATAAAATCACAATTAGATAAGCATAAACTAGATTTAGTAGTTGAAGTCATGAGTCAATTGAAGCTAGACCACCATAGGATACCTGGAGACACTGGACGGCTGTTTCGTTCTAGTATGGGACTCCTCAGCAATGCGCATTCACGACCTCATCCGCGCGATTCGAGCCCAAAACCCAACGGTCTCACGCGCGAACGCCATACCTCTAGACCACTGAGTCGGCGTCCAACTTCAAACTAGATTGCTTAAATATCCTCACCATCAGTCTTTTATATGATGGGGATGTTCAAATATTAGTCTCTTAATAAACTAGATTATTGAATAAAATATCCAATCTATTCAATCAGCTAAATAAATAAAATGAAACAATTTTCATTTGTGACATTCAATGAACATTCAATGTAATTGCTTTACTGCCTTGTGGATTAGACCTTCAGACGAAAGGCTCGGGGTGTGGCATCCTAATAAAACCACCTGCTTCGGTTTGGGCACCCGGGCAATATCCCAGCCTCAATATCCTACAGATTGAATGATTTATGTGGGGCCTCCTTGTTGGTTTCCTTATTGTACCATACCTGAAAAAAAATGAACAAAATACTTTTATCGATGATCAGACTTTAAAAATATCTCAACCGAACAATAAAAAATATATATGTTAGTTAATTATGTATTGATCATTAAACTTATTTCAAAAATATAGTTCCTAGATTCATATTTTAATTATGACTTAAGGAATTGGATTTTAACATCAAAGAATATAAGGAAAGATTGGAAGAAGGTTGAATTGGGCATAAATGTATGACGGTTTTAATTACATTATTGAGGGTGACCAATGTAACTCAACTATGGATTATAGATTACGGTAAAATTAATGATTTCAGAAGTGATACAAGAGTAAAATACATAATAGAAAACGAGCAAAAACACCAGAAGGAAAACAAAACGAACATACTCATCTTTTTAGAGGCATATCATTTAAATTCACTGATCTACAATCGTGGTGACAATGTGATTTCAAAATTATGGATGAAATAAAATACTGGTTCGTAGTTTTAAGTAAACAGAAGAACCCATATCATTTACTGAAACCTTATTTTCACTGAATGATGAATGAAATTAAAAGTTTGGCAACAGCTATTTTCAGAAAGATTTGAGAAGAATTGTCATATTTCTCTTTATACCATATTTTTCAATGGTTACAATAAAATATACCTCTAGGCTATGGAACTAAAAGCATTTAAAATTATCAACCCCTAAGTTTACTGTCATTTACTATGCTAATAGGTTTATTCTAGAATATGGGATGGTAGAGTGTTATTTTAGATATTATTTTGACATGTTGGTACATTTGAGTTGTCTACCTGAGCATCATCTAAAATTTACCTTTAGTAAAAATTGCCATCCTAACACACACGACTGCTTGTTATATATAAGTATTGACCTGAAAACTCATATAAAAGGTTGTCATCTAATATTTTTTGCTGTAAATAACAATAAGTGGGGACAAATAATCTGGAAATTAATGTGAAGAGACATATTGAACACTATTTCCCGTGAACTGCTTAACTCATTATTCTCCAACTCATACGTAAATTATTACATTGTGTATACTTTCGTTCAAGAGGTAAATATTCAACTGAAACTTGAAGAAAAATTACAATAGATCTTGGCCTCCACTACGTTTTTAAGTAAATTATTCTATTAAGTCTCTGCTAAATATAATCAATTATTTTTGACAGATCTCTTCAAATAACAAAATTGTAAACTTTGTTGCACCTGAAAATGAATTGCATTTATCTTGGAGTGTTTAGAAAAGTCATTTTTTATATTCACGAAATAGTAATAGTTGATGTTCCCAATCCCAGTCAATTCATAATACGTGTGATGATTATTATTTAATGTAATCGAAGACAATTATTTTACTTCAGATATTATTGAACTTCAATAATCATAGTATCTGTAATGTATTTCAACTGTTCATTTCCACATTAGTCGTTAATGGAGCATACAAATACTATTAATTAATAATTGAGCAATTAAAGTAAATATTCAGAGAGGAGTTTTGTGAATATTGTAGTAATTTGATAATAGAATTTATGAGTCAATTGAAACTAGACCACCCTGGAAAACATAGAAACACTGGACGGCTGTTTCATCCTATTATGGGACTCTTCAACAGTAAGCATCCACGATCCCGCTCCACGGGTTTTCCATGATAATCTAGCTTCAATTGACTCACGAATTCAATTAATAAAGTACATATATAATCTAACAATCTTTTCAACCATACTCTATTCTGAAATCAAAATATTAGTGTATATATGTCTATTCGGTTTGTAAGTGTCAATAATAATTAGAATATTTTCACTTGGTATTGTTTTGGCTTGTTTAAGACTGAACATCGATTCTGAGATGCAGGCACATCCGGCTGACGAGTCCCAAATAGGACGAAACACGCGCCCTGAATTCCACTGGTAGCCACTGTCCATCATTGCTTACAAAAAGCATGTGAATTAAGGCAATATCGAGGCATTATGCACATATGCCAATAACAGACTGATCAGTTGCAGTCTTAAACCTCAATGGGAAGATACAAGCCAAAATAATACCAAGTGAATTTAAATTCACCCCATTGCACAGGCAAGTGGCTATCAGGACCCAGTAGCTGGGTGGATAACGCGGTGGCGTTTGAAGCGAATGGTACTGGGTTCGAATCCCAGAGTGAACATCAACTCAGATGCGGGTACATCCAGCTGACGAGTCCCAAGTAGGATGAAACGCACGTCCTGCATTTCACTGCTAGCCACTATCCATCATTGCTTACAAAAATTAGAATATTTTGTTTATTTCTTTTATATTAATAATAGTTTATATTTAATCCTATCAATTACATTATATTTACAGAACAATACTTGGATATTATCAATAATAAATGAAATGAAAAATAATTCAGTTGATAATCATCAATTAGAAACTTGTCAAAATATATTGAATCATATAAGTTTAGAACAAGTTCAAACAGGTAAGTAATAGTTATTTCTAACTTTTATATTCTATAATATAAGATATATGATATCTAGTTAATTATGATTGTTACTTATTACAATCAACAAGGATAACAATATTAAATAACGGTCAATAGGTGAAATTCTAATGTTCAGGTTAATATTACTAGGTAATTGTGATTATATTAAATGTACTTCTGTATATTGTAACATAACAATAAGAATATATTGATTACAAATAATATGAAAAGAGCACAGTAACAAAAAAACAAACTAACTTGATTATATTTCATAAAATAATCAGTGAGTACCGTTTAAAATAAAATAAGCCTTAATTACAAGCCAGTTTCACTCAGTCTAATAAGTGGATTTATTTCATTTAAATGTTATGGTTGTACAAGCCTTTAATTGTATGAAATTTTTTATTTATTTACTATCATAGTGAACTGTGTGACTATAATGAACAGATATGGTACTAAGTATAAATAGCTCGACTTCAAATCAATTCCTCACATGTATATTATCTGGTCTTCTAACTGCACTATAATTAACCTTTTAAAAAAAATGGATAAGGTCAATAATAATACTAAATGATTAAGTTGAAAAGTCATGTAATTTTTGTTACATTTTAATGTGTAAACAGGCAGATTGGAACATTAATATTAAATTTAATAATCTAAAATAGATAAGACAATTTTCTACGACTTATTTTATCAATATAGGGTGTTGTAAAGGTTATAATTTTCATAGGTTTTTTTATTAACGAACTCATCTTACTTAGATCACTAATTAAAAACCTAGATACACTGAATTGTCATTTCGTCCTAGTATGTGACTACTCAGGAATGTCCGCCCATGACTTCGCATCCTGCAGTTCAAACCAGGACTTTCGATGGATGTGTGCTGCAAAGGATTCTCATATTAGGATGAAACAACCGTCTAATACTTCCAGGTTTTCAAATAGTGATCTAACTAAGTTTAGTTCATAAATTAAAAATCTATGGAAATCGATTTTATTGTTTACATAGCTGTGTATTACCATGAGGACAATTTTCACAGTCACTTTAAATGTCATCTTTATTTGGAGTTTTCGTACTTTTCAGTCAGTCAGTCAGTCAGTCAGTCAGTCAGTCAGTCAGTCAGTCAGTCAGTAACAACGTAGAACTTCGTATGTACGTACATCAGTTCGAGTTGCCATACTACATTATCACTTCTAATAGAAATCCAGTCATGGAAGTAGATAAAACTCCCTCTGTTGAATAACGGTTAAATTTCACATTGTTTGTAAGGTTATAAAGCAGAAACTATAAGTTCGAAATAATCTCACTTGAAACACTTTATTTAATAGTATAAAAAATGACAAATGAAATTCAAAAACTTATTCCATTAATAAATCGTATCAAGTGAATAAACATTGGGATGGTAAACATCGAATACCAGTCTATTGGATCCTTAATAAGACCTGATAATTTCGGGCTCAATATTGTATTTAAAGTATTAGGACTAAACTCCAAGTGTTTATGATTTTCTGAAGTGCATTGTCATAACTTCTCGTTTTGAATTCGTTCGAACTTCATGAAATAACTTGATAATTGGAAATTTTGAAGACACCGATCATTTTCTTAAACATATATACACACACATAAAATGGGAAAATTACAACAACTGAATGAAATTTTACAGCTTAATGTTTACAAAACTGTACATCAAACACACTGTAGATATAGGTGCATATCATCTAAATTAAATAAGATATAAAATGATTTAATGATTTTCTCAAACTAACAACAATATATATATTCAGCGAAAATATTTGACATTTATTGGTGCAGTTGTGCCTAACGTAGAATCTGTAACATGTGTACGTTAGTTAAAGTTGCTACACCCCATTCGCACAGCTAGAGGAAATTATAACAACAAATCACGAAGTGCTAGAGACAGTAACAGTATTAGCCCTAATAGTAAAGATTACTCATAGGAGACATGATTAGAGAAGAAAGCATAAGTTAATGGGATGAAAAGATTTTAGAAACTTTGGATCGAAGGGAAGAAAATAAGTCAATGTACTTACGTCATAAAGACTGATTCTGAGCCATGTTATTTAAAATGTTAATGGATTGGTTACTACTATCACAGAGGCTCCAACTAGATAGCTTGAACCTACTTTCATGGTTCAGTTCAACAGTTATTGTTTTCGTGGATTTATATCGCGTCTCGAGTTAACCATTACTAGTTTTCCCCCAACATTTCCTACACCTTTTATCTTTGCACATAGAGGTAGGCGTGTTACATATGGTAACCATCTTAATCAATGGCTATTTAGCAAGTAGCTTTTCCAAATAATGAATATGATGTATTTGTGTCATTAAAAAATTTCAAACTCCCATTGAAATGCAAACTTCCAACACTTCAGTAAAGGATAGTAATTATAACTTTATTTCTGGGTTTGTAAATTTCTGGTGACAGTAACGGCGACGATATGACAGTTCATTACTCCAGTAAATCAGTATTAATTGCAATGGTTCCGTAGCAAAATATTGCTTGTATTGCCTAGATCCCATGAAAAAACCATTTACATTTCATTTATATACAAACATTTTAAAGGTGAGTGCTAATAAAGTAGACTCTTGATCTGATATTCTACCTGAGGGTCCGCCCTCACCATATATTAATAGAATATAATGTGTAATCCTTTAATTAATCGGTTACACTGTACAACTTAAAGCATTCATTCACATATCAAGCATAATATTTTATTACTATCGTATATACAATTAATGTGAGTATATCAAATGATATGTGGTAATCTGAACTCAGAACAAACTAGAATCTAGTACCTTTTTACTAAGACGCAAAGAAAATATCTTCAATTGATAACAAAAACTGGTAGGCTAAACGGATTGTAACCATGACGCGTCAAAATTTAAAGAGAATACGAATTGGTTTGACTATCAACAATGTCATCAGAATGTTTTCTATCCTGTTATTTCTTTTGTTTTCTGCTCTATAAACCCTCACCCCTCTGTTTTGAAAAATGGAAATAATTAAAAATGATCTAAACTGTATACACTTTTCTGTTTTTTTTCTCTAATTACTTTGAAGCGGGGGAGGCTGAAACGGGAAGAGAATGGAAAGGAAATAATGTTTCTCCTGACTGATTTCCTTTATTTTATGTTTTTTTTCTTCTTTTGAATAATAATTTGAAAAAAATTATCCGATCTAACAATTCAACTGGAAAATAAAAAGTATTTTTGAACAGAAAAAAATGTCAATTTTTGAAAATTTACGCTAGATCAATTTTTCAAAATTATAATGAACTGTTGCTAGGCTTTAAATACATACTTTCCTTAACAATTTAATCAAATTAGTTAAGGGTTAAGAATAAATAAGTATTTACATTATATATTCATTAATCATTAAAAAAACTTAGTGAATATAGCTAAATCATAATTGCTATCGTATTAATTAACAAACGACTGGTAAATCGAAACTATACGATCTATTCAGATATAAGTGAATAAATTATCTTTGGAATTCTGTTAACTACTCAAGTGACAGTAAAAAAAGCATAACTGGATTACAGTTGTAAACGTACAAAAGTTTGAACCCGAAATTCCTTACTAAATATTCTAAAGTTATTGAGCTTTGAGTGACCCTGCTTAACTTATTTGTTCCCTTCTCTCCGAAGACTCAAACTTAATTCTGATCTATCAATGAGGTTAAGTATTCTAGATCATATAAGGAAATTTAAACTTGGTAAAATAATTTAAATGATCAACTACCTTCAACTCAGAAAGTGTTGATCTCACTGAGACTTGAACCTATTCACCACTTTTTCAAAAATGAATTTTCATGTTTTGGGTAATATAATTGTAATAGTCAAAAATTGCGTAGTTGGTATACTTTCTTATTAGAGTCTGATTTGCTACATAGTTCATTCGTAATCTATGTTTACTAGTCGGTTCAATTATAAGGATTCACTTCGAATAAGAGCAGTGACTATTTTTTTCCACTTAAGCTTATGGTAGAAAAGAAACATAATATATTTCTCGTTACCATAATGGTTACTAGAAACTCTGTTTGTATTGCATTCAAATTTCCTGTGATACAAGTTTACTAAAGAGATTAATGTTTAAATGATGGAATAATTATCTTTTTTTACTATATTTGTATGCTATGGCTATAAAATTACAATGGACTTAAAATATAATTATTTAAGTTTTTTCAGTAGTATTTCAAACTGATTTTGTATTATGTAATCAAATAATAGTTTACAATTGGTTGTACATACCCCAGGGGTCTTGGTTTCCTGTTTAAAGGAAAGTTTTCGTTTTGTTGATAAGGTTTTTTATATTATTTAATAAAAATAAATATATCTCATTGAATTCCAGGTAAGTAATTCTCTTATTGAACATATTAAAATAAATATTGTTTCATGTTTATTTAACACTATATTAAGTATTTCAGTAGTCTGTTGATATACTTAGATGATAAAAAGAGAATTTATTGTTAAGAACTTATCAACAAACAACATATAATTTAAATTGTCATACCCATATTTCATCAATTTTCTGTACTCTTCACATATCACTCATCAAGATTTGACATGCATGCACAACAACAATGTGAGAAAGGAGTTTGGTGAACAAATGAATCTATCATGACAGATGGAAATATTAAGAATTTGTTTCCTTATTAGTATGTATGTGTGTGTTTATGTTTAGAGTGTAGCATACAGAGGAACATGTCTTATCACACTTATATACAATGTTCATGTATAACATGATAAAGAAAGGAAGAATTTTAAAAATTAAGAAATAAAATAATTTCCTGTGTAAATATTAATTTATTTGACTTCACGGGATATTTGCCTGTCAACTTTCCAATCAGATTTTGCTACCAAGCCGGTGATTGCGTAATTTTCGAATAACTGACAGACGGAAATATAAATATATACATATTTATTTCACATACATACAATACTATATCCCCCAGGCGTTATTTATTTAAATGAAATTACTAACTTAAATCTGTCAACGGAATCTACTCATATTATAAATGTAAGCAGTAGATTGAAATGTATGACTAAATGAAGACAATTGATTGTGTTGCTAGGTTAGCACATTCGTAAATAGGTGTGATTTTTATAATTACATATCATAAAAGAAGAGCAGAAAATAATGCTCACATATAACAATGAGATTAATTGAAGGTAAGTAGAATTGTATATGTACAGCGTAAGATTGAGTGAGCAAATTTGAAATAATCTTCTTTGAAGACACTATATCTGAGAGATTCACTCCTAGTTTAAGGAAATTTTGATGACCAGGTGAAAAACGTTGGACAAGTTCTTATTTATGGTAGTCAAATTGAAATGTAAACGGAATATCAGTACGTATTTCATTCCTCTTAAGTGAAACACAAAGATGGTATTGCTAAAACTGCTACTTGAATTATTTCAATCATTTTTGTGGAAATGACTTACAGAATATATAATCTATCAATTAATAAATTCAATAGGATTACTGAGCTAAATGAATATCATTCGTTTACGAATGTATTTTATGTTTTCTAATACATTTTAAGAAAATGTATTTGTGATTCTTATGCTTCTATATAGATGCCAACATATTTTATTTACCACTTAGATTAAAAAAAGGTAATTAACTAGTACTAATTGAGTTTAAATAAAGCAGAAAATACTAACGTAAACAGCTCAGATATGATAAATTCTAATCATTGACTGCATTAACTCTGTTCTGATCTTCAAAGAAGTATGAATTCTATAGTTTTATAAAGTTTGAGAAAGAGATAACAGAGTTATGTTTATCAGTATGAGGTTGTGGAGATTGTTTAGTTTTTGATTGAAATCATGAATTGATTGATGTTAGATCAGATTTAACATCAATCGGTTCATGATCTCAAACAAAAAGAGTTATGTTTGTTAAATAAAATGATGGAATCATACTACAATATATTAATCCAAATTGTATCCATGTAATTGTCAAATGGTTTTGGTGTCAACAGGTTTACTTTCATTTTAATTGTACTTTTTTATGGTAAAATTCACATTAAACTTAAACACTTTAAATATGTTTTCTGTTTTATGCTGGAACTCATCAATACAATCCATTAAAGTGATTACAAATTTATTGACTTGAAATAAAATAATTTTTACATCTCTCATTCGATATCTAGTAATGATAAGAGCCATCTTGAAATCTCGTATTTCAATTTAAAAACATATAACTAGTTACTCTCAGAAGAAGATATTATACTCATTAAGAAGAGATGAGAGCTATTTTTTGAGACGTTTTCTCACTTGATTCGAAATCAGTAAATTACTAACATTTAATTATGTATTTGCTTTATCCTGTGAATCATAAGCTTTTGGTTAATCTATAGATTACTGTCATCTCTTCTACTCAAAAATTATTGTGATTTCAACATCTTCCTCGATTTCCATTTATTTTACTTCAATGCTCTAGTTTAGTATGATTGTACTTTTCCCATTCTTTGTGAGTTTCGTTCGAATGAATTATATAAAGGGCTTCCTGTTATAATCATTTCTCTTCACTTACCAACCAATATGGTAATTAATTATTCTCTTTTCCCAAGACGGTTCAGTCTCAAAGTCGAACTTACAAGTTCCGAATTTCAGAAAACTGAACCAATGATGATCAAGAAGTCCTGAACACAATCCAGTGTGGGTCAAGTTCTGACGATTCTCAAATTAGAACGATACAGCTACCTAGTACTTATTAGTTTTTAATGATTCTTTTTTTCTTCTTATAATGAAAACCATCCCCAGATACTACAAATTATCTCGGGAATAAAGGATTTATACCTCATTATGGTTATCTTCAAGCTATTCTACACTATTTTGAATAAAAATAAAACGATTGTAGTGACATAAAATCCTAACCGAGTTTTAGCTTGTTATATGAGTCAACTATTTTAATGAACACCCAATATTCAAATTCAATCATTTATCTTATTCCTACTGACATATCACCTTTATAAACTTTGTGTGGTCAGACATTTTACATTTCCGATTAGTTGATGTTATATATTTAAAAAATTTGCTCAGATTTCACGACAGCCACATGTTATTGTGCTATAAATTTTTGGATTTGAAATGTTGCCATAAGATGGTGGTTAGAGGTAGTCAACAGTAAACCCTGGACCTAAGTTTCGTGCTACTTTGCACTCGTCAGCAAGGTGTACCTGTAATCTTGAGGAAACCGATGCTCCCTGACGGATTCAATTTCGTGTCACCCAGCTTCACAGTCACAGACGTTACTACTGAGCTATCCGGGCCGCGACTGACCTCCTGTAGGACTGAAATGTATTTACTTGGTTGATAGGATTCGATCGGCACTAAGAAGGACCTGACATATATGACGTTGATCACCACCCAGTGATCGATCAATTTTAAATGTCTTACCATTTATAATATCAGTAAACGAAATGTTGTCTCTACACATTGATTTCTAATAAAGTTAATTTTTACACTAAATTCCCTTCTTTTTTTATTTCTCTAATATAGGTGAACAAGGAAACATCTGTTTATCAGATCATTTAAAATTAAACTTACAGAAGAATCTAACAAATAGTTGTAATAACACTAAAGACTTATCAACAAATTTCGTAACAAGCTTATGCACAAAATTAAATTCTAAATCGATAAAGCATAAACATAAAACAAAGAAATTTTATACAAATTCAATGAAATGACTGCGGATAAAAGAGTGAAACAGGAGGAAGAAGAAGAAGAAGTAGTAGTAGAAGTAGAAAAACACTCCTGTCAAACATCTTTATTAAATAATGAAATACAACATTCAGAACATTATAATTATCAAGTAAAGAATAATATTGAGAGTGATGGATATGTTGGAGGAAATAAGATTGTTTCTGATAAATTGTGTAATGAAAAGATTAATGTTTCCATATCTGGAACTCAATCAAACATTTATGTAAATGACATAGATGATAGTGATAATCAGTATGATAATGATGATGAGGTGGAGGATACCGATGACGATGATGATGATGAAGAGGAGGATGGGAATGATAGTAATGAAAATGACAGTAATAAACGCCAACGGCGAACACGAACTAATTTTTCAGGACAACAGTTGACTGAATTGGAATTAGTCTTCCGTGTTAGTCATTATCCAAGTATGATTGTGCGAGAAGAGTTGGCACAACGTTTAGGTTTACCAGAATCCCGTATTCAAGTAAGCTGATCCAGTTGAATTGTTTTGGTTCTTGCGTTTTATCGACATATTTATTCAAAGGCTATATGATTATGCTAGGAACAAATGTGCTTTAGTCTAAGCACCCATATCAGATCATCACAATTAGTAAAAAAGCAGTTACAATAATTGCGGAAGCATTAACAATGTGACAATTTGGTTCACGTAAACGAAATAAAAATAAAATATCTATGAGGAAACACTGGAACTCAAGATCTAGCGGAACATAAGGAAGTAATGCATCTGGGCTGCTGATATCGATTCTAAAGAATGTTATGCGATGACTCCAACCACTGATCACGGTTATTGAGCGAATCTCAACCAGTTCGTCCTGACCATTAGATAGTATCACACATATCCCCATGTAAAGATTAGCCATTATGATCAAAGAGAGTTATTGATTTAAAAAGAGGGATTATATTTAGTTATGAATTAACCAACTAACTTTATCTTGAACAGTTTTTTAATGTCCCCATTCGTTATATATTTTGCGGTTTAACAAATAGACATTTCATTTCCTTGAATAGTGAACAACATTATGTTGAAATTTATTTCTCTGAACTGTCTTGCAGTTTAAAGTAGCTGAACATAATAAACATTATCGAAATTTATGCAATTCACCTGATATTCTTCCAAAATTAACACGATATTTGTTTCGCTATAAATTATAAATTGATTGTCTTTTGTCGTTATTTTATCAAGTTATGTTATATAATATGCAGGTCACCTTCTTTAAAGTAGAATAACTTCAATCAACATGTTATTCCGTGAAAGATACATTTTATATTATAATTAATGTTGCCATGATTTTATACAGCGATAAACATTAAAATCAAAGGCTTTTACAACTCTTTGAGATTGTTATTTATCAGAAACTTTATGTATATTTATACATATTTATATACATCTGATGTGGTAGCTAGTCATGACTTTGGTGATGATTTTGCCGAGCTACGTTGTCTAGAAAATTCGTTGCTTTAGGTTTTACTTTGTTATGCAAATCCGTTGAAAAGCGACAAGACTGAAGGTATCAACTCAGGGTATAAAACAAAAGCCATACTGCTGTCTTTACCAGAGTGTGACGGATGTAAGGTGTTCCATCGGATAACCATCGTCTACAAGGATTCTACCTTCTCACAACAGGAAGAGAGAGGTTAGAAAAGGTCGGGTCTAAAAGGTCACATCTTACCCTAAAAATTTTCATCTCTGTCACTAAGGTCTTTAAAGTACGGAACAAACGCATTTAAAACCTCTCTCAAAATTTCATGCCTGGCTAGCTTCATGCAGCTACCCTTGGGTCCTGCGGTCACACTTACGGGTTTCTATAACCACTTCTAACTCAACTTCCACTTCAGAACCCTCAAAAGAAATAACCTCCCATAAAAAGGAAACATCAATTATCCTCATTCTCCAAACAGCTTTGGAGATCCACTTGATTAATGGTAAGAACTGATTTATTAACATGTATGGATAGTTTATGTATCACTAATTAGGGTTAATTTAATTTGACATAATTTTCAGTATTTTTCTCACTTTTTTCACCTATTATTAAGGATTTCATATAAGATAAACAATCCAAGTTAAGTTTACTTTCAAAAAGTACTTAGTTTTACACTGGACTCATTATCGCAAATTCAGTAATGCCATATAGGATACTTATGTATAAATTTCTAACAACTAATTATATCTTCTTATTCCAAAGCCATACATTATATGTCATAAATAATCTTCCATATCTTTCTTTTTTCTTTGTTTTCAAAGGTTTGGTTTCAAAATAGAAGGGCCAAATGGCGCAAAAGAGAACATACACGGAAAGGTAGATTACTAGATTGAATAAAATATTATCCTTATTAAGTGCTTAATTAATGAATTAAATGAACCTAAATATGAATTATACATTTAAACAATTAATAAGATGTTTCAAGTTAAAAGCTATATATCTTTGAATAACCTTTCATTCTTTATTCTACCTATAATATTTGAAAACTTCTTATTATACAGTAATGATGTACAGGTTAAATATCAGAGTGTTATTACATTTGGCAAACTGATAGTAGTACAATAATTAGTTCTTGAATATTAATTCTAATTGCCAGTGGTTTAATGAACTGATGAGTAATTCATGATCTATAGAGTATTCGAAGAATTACACTATTTTAATGGGGATTAATTTCCTTAAAAACTGTAATGAATATTTTATTAAATGATAATCAGATTTTCGATAGAAGCATATTTAACTCAACCATTATAAAACTGTTTAAAATCTATGGTAGATTGATCACTGAGTTATGACTAATGTCGTATTTGTCTTATCCTTTAGAGCTGATGAGTTTCTATCGATTAAGTTGTTATATGACCACTAACCTAACCAACACTGGTCACTAGTCAGTGACTAACCATTTGTAAATATCTCAGTTCCTCAGTAGGTCAGTTACGACTTGAATAGCTCAAAGAATGTCTCAAACTATGAAACTGGGTGGTGAGGGTTCGAATCTATTAGAAAACATCGGTTTTCTCAAGATTCCAGGCATACCTTACTGATGAACCCTAACTAGTACGAAACTTATGCTAATCAAGGTTAAGCAAGCCAACTCCCTCCAGTCATAAAACAGTCTTTTTAAATCACTGGGATTCCAGAAAGGTTTTGTTCTAGATAGATTTCTCGTTTCCCTAAAACTAAGAATCTTTTATATGATTTAGTATTCTCTAAGGATATATCGTTTATCATTTAGAGTATAGGAACGGGAAACGGTTTAGGTGTCATTACGGAGGTTTGACTTGGTAACTTCAAATAAACTGAGTATTAGGTAGATTGTTATAAATAAAAATAATATATTTTTAATATCCCAGTGAGTGTAGGCCACTTCTTCAAAGAATAAATAACCAAATCAAATCAAGCTAAGTTTAAATAGTACAAGTGAACAAAGCAAGAGTATTAGGTGCGATCAATCAAAAACGGATCTAACCAAATCAATGGCATGTCATCTTTTAGTGTAGAAAACGGTGGTTAGTGAGATCTTATCGAAGTTGTGAATATACCAATCTTAACTTTCCCATAAATGCATATTCGACAAACTTCAGAATAAAGGAAACAACTGAATTAATTATCCCTTACTGACATAATGACTCAAACCACTATTACCCTACAAACAGATAACTGTAAATTTTTCATCCTACATAAAACCACAGGTAAAGTATAATGCGGTCTAGCAAACCGACGATCAATCATCTAACAAAATTAATCGAAAATGATTTAGTTTTTTAATATGTTTCAATTAAATTTTATTTATATGTTTGCTAAGAATTTCCTTCTAAATTTAACACAGGACCTGGAAGGCCAGCTCATAATGCTCAACTTCTTACATGTTCAGGTGAACCAATCGATCCAAATGAATTGCTTAAACGGGAAGCAAGTCGCCTGGAAACAAGAAGACGAAAAATGATGGAGAAACGAATACAGTCTCTAAAAAAAAAACAAACGGTAATTAGACAAAATCACACCTCTAAACTTGTTTCGTCTAGAACAGCGCAGAAAAATCCCAAATCCCTAAATTTTCAACACAATGATTGCGAAAATCCCGTCTCAAATAATAAGCTACAATTGAATTTGACACCATCCACAAAACATATCGAAGAATTCAAGCAAAATCTAATATTTCCGAACATCACTACTTCAGAAAATTGCTTGAATTTATCTTCTGAATTTCAGTCCCTTTACAGACAGTCCAATATAAGATCTAATAATAGTATCCCTGTACATCCTCATTCAGTTTGGTCTAACATACAATCTAACTATTCAACAGCAGATGTTAACTTGTGGAACAGTCAACTACAAACTGATAATTCGACTACCAATCACTGTGCAAATTTTCCAAGACAATCTCTTTTTCAGCAAAATGTTAATAAAATCCACAAAACCCAAAACAAAACCTTAAACAGTTGTTTTAATAATACTACTACTAATAATAATAACATAAATTTAAGTAAATCTACTGATTCACCATTCAGTATTGAATGTATTTTATCATCAACATCATCACTATCCCATTAAAAAAAGAAACATCACAGTGGTTAAATACATATAAGCAGTAACTGTATGAATATTATCAATTAATTTGTTTGTACTTACTTACTTATCCTTATTACTCCTAATGGAGTATAGGCCGCCAACCAGCATTCTCCAACCCACTATTTCCTGCGATTTCCTTTCTAGTTCAATACAATTGTTGTTCATTCTTCTCATGTTTCTCTTCATTTCTCGTCGTAATGTGTTCTTTGCTCATTTTCTCCTTTGGCCTTGAAGGTTCTAAGTAAGAGCTTGCCTTGTGACGTAGTTGGTCGCTTTCCTCAATGCATTTCCTATCCACTTCCAACGCCTTTTCCTGCTTTCTTCCTCTGGTTTGTTTGCCCCCACTCATTTGTTTGTAAGGCAATTAAATTGACAATATTATCGTTATTTCATCTTATCAATCTTTGAACAAATTAATTTAATTCCGGTACTATACATAATGCTACTTTAATTTAAAAAAAACAAGATCAACACTGTGATATGTTATTACATTAATTATATAAATGAATATTGAATATAATAAGATTCATTTCATAATTATAAAGATTAATACAGTATTGACTATGTTTCATATTATTCAACATAGTTTCATACATTTGAATTGTAAATTTATGTTATTAAACCAATTGAATAGTGAAATTCATTCGTATTATCAAAGTAATTTCATAGGGTTAAACAATGTTGTTGTTTATGCGGTTTAGAATACATATCTTATTATTTGAGAATTTTATTCAGTTTATTACAATTAATAATAATACTAGTAATAATAACAATAGAAATACTTATTCTTATTACTTCTGAATAAATACTAATAAGTATGGGTAGTGTAGGAGGTTTTATTGAGATCACAAAATGACGTAAGTCAAATAACCACTGAATACCTGAAGGCAGTGGACAGCTGATTCCTCCCAGTATGGAACCACTCATAAGTGTGCATCCAATATACAATTGGAGGGACTCGAAACCAAAACACTCAGTCTCGCACACGAACACTTAGGCTGTCAATCACTAAAAACGATATCAAGAGGTGTTAATGTCTAACTTCAATTAGTCCATTGTATTGCGCGAAATAGTCGTCTAACATTGATCTCGATAAAAACTTAACAATCTTCACAACCCTATACGGATAGTTATCATGAGCCCACAAGTGATTGGTGTGGAATAGTAATTCTCGGAGTTGTAGTGTGAAGCCGTGACCAGTTTGGTTAATCTGTGACAGGTGTGAGGCAGTTATCCACAAAAAACACAATTGAATATGGTTGTGCAATATCGTGGATTGGTTGAAGTTAGACATTAACACCAATGGATGCGAGTTCAGTGGTTTTGTGGTTGAGGATTCGTATGAAACTGAATATGCCGATTTCGAGTGGCACATGCGATGTTATGAATGTGCATTGCTAATAAGTCTCATAGTAGAATGATGTGGTTGTCTATTGTTTTCAAGTTTCGGATGTTGGTCTAATATTGATCGGTTCATGATTTCAATAGAAACTCTGTCTCCACAACTCCATACTGATAAAGACTATCTGTCTTATGATTTGACGTGATAAAAGCTTAGGATTTATGTTTTTAAATAACAAATTGTTTATGAATTAGAAATGAGTATCATTCCTCCTAGTTATTTACTAATCTTAGTGGTTAAAGTTTCAACCAGGAATAGTATTCAGAGCCGTTATCGTTAAAAAAAATTTTGAGCCAAATAAATGAGCAATGATCCACTTCCATTTCAAAATGACGTATAATTAATTTCCTTCATTTTCAATTTATTTCGAAATATATTTTGACGATTGAGGTAACATAGTAGATACGATGAAAAAAAACAGTGTAGCAGTAGATCTCAACATGTACAAGGTAAGAACCAACATCCCCAAATATAACACCGAGGATACCAACCCTAAAAACACTTGATAGAAAAACTCTGGAACAGATGAAAACTTCAACGTACCTGGGAAGCATCATCGATGAACAAGAAGGATAGGATGCAAACGTAAATGTGAGGATTGGCAAAGTCAGGACATCATTCCTCCATTTGAAGAACATATGCAACTCAAAATAAATGTCAACTACTATCAAAGTCAGAATCTTCAATACAAACGTCAAAACAGTTATACTCTACAGAACTGAAACTTCGAGAACCACCACAACCATCATCGAAATGTACAAATATTTGTAAACAGTTGTCTACATAAGATGCTTAACATCCGTTGACCGAATACCATCAACAACAGTTTACTAAGAAATAGAACAAACCAACTTACATCTGAAGATGAAATTAAGAAAAGACTCTTGAAGTGGATAGAAAAAACATTATGGAAATCGTCAAACTGCATTACAAAACAAACGCCAACTTAGAACGCATTTAATTAATAGGGTAAATTCAACAAGGCTTAGATAAAACAAGAAATTACAATGGAACATATAAAATGAGATGTATTTTTTGAACCGATTATTGAAAGTTCATGTCACACTGTTTCACTTAGTGACTTGAAACGAGCTACAACGATTTAAGCCGAATGACATCAATTGAATTGCTTACGTTAGTTTCAGCTGCTTACACTATCCTATGTTTGAATGTTATTAATTGCAAACGAAATTCAACTCATGTTTATTAAAATAAATTTGATAAATACTCAATGTTAATGTGTATTATTATAGTAAGGGAATGATAATAAATGTGGAGAAAGTGAAATCGATTTAATCAAATATTACAATTATATATTATATGCAAAAGAATGTTTTAGAAGGTCAGTTAAAGAGTTGACTAGGAATCATGGAAGTTGTGTAGTGATCGAGAACTGTTTAGTAAATGGAATTGGTTTGAGGGTATTTATAAATAAAGAATTAAGTCATTTAGGCTCAGATGATTTAAACGAAATGGTAGTATGAAATAGTGAGGGGTTGAATTGAAAAATACTGTAACCAAATAGGGAAAATAGTGAGGAATTCTGTTACTAGGATAAATAACAATATATAAGTTAGGGTATAGAAGTTGCACTAATATATATGTTAAATATCCCTTTTTCTGTTCAATTAATTTAACTGCATTAGTATGCAGTAGCAAACTGAAACATTGCTGGTAACTTTCTAAGTAGCATTAATTAATTGACTTTAAGAACAAATTGTTCTATATAAGACATAATATTAACTTCAAGAGAGATTTAAATTAGTAAAGTGTTTGTTGTTTTATTATTCTTACAAAATTACTACATTTCAAGTTCCTGGCTGGTCAGTTTTGTTTGGCAAATTTCTTTATATAAACAGAGGACTGATATGGAACCAATGAATTACACACAAACTGTTATTAGATGTTAAGTAAAGTTTCCGGTTTAGGGCTTATGATCATTTTGAAAAATGCTTTAGAACAAGTGATCAAATTAAAAATTAGATTCGGGATATCTAAAATAACAAAGAAGGAAAGCAAAGGTTAACTAGTTGATTTGTTGATGGAAATCAGTAAGTGTTGAAATATCTTCAACTATAATTTTAGCTATGACTCTTTGAGGCCGATATAAATCAATTGTGGAGAACTGTGTGCAGCATTTAAAAACATAAGCAGTTAATAATTAGTATAATGTTAAACATTGGTTTTGACAATGTATATTTCCACTAACAGATTAGTAGTCTTAGTACGAAAGTTGACCTGTTAAAATGCATATGAGGTAAATTAGCAGTTTGGTTTTGACAATGTATCATTTCACATACTATTCTATATCATTTTGACACGATTTTCGCAACATACCTATTTTATGCACTTGACCCTTACCCACCAGTAAATACGAATTATATGACCTTAAACGAATGTTTCATTCGTTCGCTATATTCTAGTGGTGATAACGTATAGATACGTACACTTTCATAGGCAACATTGTGACCGTATTTCACACCAAATGACTCAAGTTTTTACTACACATGAAATCAGCTTCTGAACGTGTATTTATAAGGACTTGTTATAGACCTTACTTATCTTGGACAATTTGGACTTCGATTATTTCCTTGAAGAATCTTGGACGAGACGTCATGAATATTTAAATTTTAATCACTGAAATCATTTCAAACGTAATTTCCACACCAAATGTCTCCCACAAAACTGGCATCCCATTTCTTCTGAGATCTAATGATAAATATTACACAAGATGTAATTCATTGTGCAAACTTGAAATTATCTACTTACACAAGCACTTACGTAAACACTTCTGTTCGGTAATCAGTAGGGTCGTGGATGCATACTACTTTAGAATCCCATGCTAGATAGAAATAGCTGTCCAGTGCTTCCTTACTTTCAATGATTGGATCCAAAGTATTTTGCGTAGGCAACCGTCAATAAACGCCTGTATTTTCTGGATGATGGCTTTCGTAGTTCTCCAGGTTTCCGCCCCATACAGTAGAACTGTCTTGATATTTGTATTGAAAATCCTGACCTTGGTGTTGGTTGACAGTTGTTTTGAGTTCCAGATGTTCCTCAGTTGTAAATATGCTGCTCTTGCTTTGCCGATCCGCGCCTTCATATCTGCATCAGATCCACCCTGTTCATCAATCATGCTGCCCAGATATGTAAAGGTTTTTACATCTTCCAAATCTTCTCCGTCAAGTGTGATTCGATTGGTACATCCTGTGTTGTATCGAAGAATCTTGCTTTTCCCTTTGTGTATGTTGAGACCTACTGCTGCTGAGGCTGCTGCTACACTGTTCGTCTTCTCCTGCATTTGTTGTTGCGTGTGAGATAGAAGAGTCAGGTCATCTGTGAAGTCTAGATCGTCCAGCTCCATTCTTGTTGTATACATATCGCTGGCTGAAATCATGAGTCAATTGAAGCTAGACCACCATGGAAAACTTGGAAGCAGTGGACGGCCGTTTCGTCCTAGCATGGGACTCAGCAGTGGGCATCCACGACCTCCCCCCCCGCGAGATTCGAACCCAGGACCTTATGAGGAGTTCCATACTAGGATGAAACGGCCTTCCGGTGCTTCCAGGTTTTCCATGGTGGTCTAGCTTCAATTGACACATGATTTCAACCAGTGAAATTCCTAAAATCTCCACAAAACCCTTTCTGATATATATATCAGTCAACCATAATTAACTTACACCTATTGTTTATTGAGTTAATTGACTTTTAA